GAGAGAAAGGCAAAGCGAGAGAGGAAAAACAGCAGGAGGAATGGTGTAGTGAGGCATGGGATAAAGAAGAAAGCAAGAAAACCTTGTATTTTTGAAGTTTTCTATAAATAAATAAGATTAGATTTTTTTTCTTCTTTAGGTATGTTTTTTTAAATATGAGAAAATGAAAGATTTAGAGTTGAATTTTCTTCATAGAAATCATGCGCAATTCACTTGATCTATTTCGTTTTTCTTCCTTTCTTTGTTATGGGTTATTTCTTGGTTTCCATATTAGTTTGTTTCTTGTCCATATTTTGTCTGTCAATGATTATGAGAATGAAGATGTGTAAGGATAGGTCCAAGGTCCTTAACCAAGGATAGGTTCGAGGTCCTTAACCTTGGACATATTGTTACAGTTCCTTAATAATCGAAGTGAAGTTAAATCCAGCACTTTCCGGTTAAATGGCTACATGATAAATACAGTGAACATGCCCACACCTAATTTACATAATTTCCCGGTCCCGAAATAATCGCCTAAAGGAACACGTCACACTCCGATTATCTTGTCTATAAAAGGAGGTTTCGGCCAATCAAAAAAAGAAAGTAGAAATTCGAGAGAGAGGAAAAACAGTAGGAGGAAAGTTGTAGTGAGGTGTGGGATAAAGAGGAAAGCAAGAAAACCTTGTATTTTTGAAGTTTTCTATAAATAAATAAGATTAGATTTTTTTTCTTCTTTAGGTATGTTTTTTTTTTTTTAAATATGAGAAAATGAAAGATTTAGAGTTGAATTTTCTTCATAGAAATCATGCACAATTCACTTGATCTATTTCATTTTTCTTCCGTTCTTTGTTACAGATTATTTCTTGGTTTCCATATTAGTTTGTTTCTTGTCCATATTTTGTCTGTCAATGATTATAAGAATGAAGATGTGTAAGGATAGGTCCAAGGTCCTTAACCTCGGACGTACTGTTACAGTTCCTTAATAATCGAATTGAAGTTAAATCCAGCACTTCTCGGTTGAATGGCTACATAATAAATACAGTGAACATGCCCACACCTAATTTATATAATTTCCCGGTCCCAAAATAATCGCTTGAAGGAACATGTTACACTCCAATTATCTTGTTAAGCAAGCCATGTGAACACCTCACTAAGGCCTATAAATACCCCTCAGGGGCCACCTCAGAAAGGTAATTGAAACCAATCTAAAGCTCCTTTTTCATTATTCTAAAAAGGTAGATTCGATTATTGTTGATTTAAGCATCGGAGTGTCTACCCCGATGACCCACCTCGAGGCTTTGCAAGTTCAGCCGAAGTGAAGATGTGGACAGAAGAAGGACTTCTGGTTTGGTGCAATTACATTGGCGCTGTTTATGGGAATCTAAACTAAAAGCTCTTTTGTTGCTTCCTCATCATGGTCAACACTCAATTTGTTTGAGCTAGAAATCAGGCTCAACCTTTTGGACAAGTTCAAGGTCAACTCCCCAATAACCTTCCACCTCACCTCCCACCTCAGATCCCAAATCTATTCCCTCTTGTTGACCATGCAGAAAGAGTAGATGAAAACCAACCTCACAACTCAGCTTACAACTTAGCTTCCACTACTAATCAAGATGTAGTTACAGCCTAACTTGCTTCCATGCAATAATAGTTTGGTGTCTTTTAGTTAGTTTTGGCTCAGCTCCTAGCTTGGAATAATCCTAGCGATCCCCTCATCAATCTACTCAACCTTACTCAACAACTCCCTGTTCAATAGCAAGACCCTCAACAAGTTCAGCATGCTCCTGCTCTCAATGAGTCTCAGGGTCAGTCTCATGTAGCCCCAGTTCAACAACCTTTACCTAATGATGTCACATGACGTTTGGACAGCTTAGAAAAACTGGTAGTCGAGCAGCGAGGTGCCCTACCTCCACATCATAACACTGATTCCATACCTCATCCTTTAAACACTAACATCACATTGGAACCTTATCTTGCTGGCTTCAAAATACCTTAGCTCGAGACATATGATGGGACGAAGGATCCAGATGATCACCTCCATGCCTTCTACTCTTGTATGCAACTCAGAATGCTTCTGATGCATTGATGTGCTAAATCTTTCCCTCCACTCCCCGTGGTAATGCTCAAACCTGGCATTATAGTTTGCCCCCGAGATCTATCAGCTCCTATTTCGAAATGGCATCTGCTTTTGCCACAAAGTTTTCCAGAAGAAGGTTGATTAGGAAAACCACTTCTAAACTGATGCGAGTCAAACAAAGGGAAGGAGAATCTCTGAAGAATTACATGAGCTGGTTCAATGATGCAGTCCTCAAAGTCAGTTCATTCAACCAAGCTGTGGGAATTGTGGCTATCATTCAAGGTCTTCAACACGAAAGATTCAGAGATAGCTTAATTAAACATCATACTGCTACTTTTAATGAAGTTAATGACAGATCTTTCAATTCATAACTACTAAGGAATATGCTTTATCATAGAAACCAATTCTTCCCAATAATCAAAACCTAGATTGGAGAGATGAGGGTCAAAGTAGAAAGCGGATGAAGACAGTATAGAACTGAGGTTCGATGTCGACCTTCACATCCAGATTCAGAAAGCCGAACTTAATACCCCCCCCCAACAAATTACCACTAAAGCACCAGTCACATGGACTCCTTTCAATCTGCCAAGGTCGTAGATATTCATGCAGATAAAAAACAAGATGGATTTGAGGCGACCAAGGTCGATGAGAAGTTCTGCTACTACACGTGATCATACTAGGTATTGTGATTTTCATCAAGATCACGGTCATACAACGGAGCAGTGTAATAGTTTGAGGTCCGAGTTGGAAAGTCTATCTCAGAAGGGAATGCTGAATGAATACATCCAGGGAACAGAGCAACTGAAGTTTGTTAGAGAACAGGGGCCACAACCATAAGGATCTCGTAATACAAGCAACAGGCAGGGTGTGGGATATCAACAAGCCCCACCTCCACTCCCACCACTAGCTAGAATTATACATATGATTATGGGAGGCTTGGAAGTAAGGGGTTTGAGCTCCAAACAACAAAAACTATATGTTAGGGAGGTGAAGCACCAAAACCGAGCTTAGAAATGAAAGTTTAACGATGCTGACTGGAAAAATCAACCCATCACTTTCACATCTACTGATTTTGATACAGTTGTCACACCTCATAATGATCCTTTGGTCACTTCCGTTATGATTAACAACTGTGAGGTACAACGTGTCCTTGTTGACATAGGGTGGGCACCAAACATTATGTATTTTCACTGTTTTAAGAATCTCAGACTAGATCCAACTTTGTTGCAGAGATATGATGGCCCCATATACGGATTCAATAACCAACCTGTTCAGATAGAAGGAGTCCTTACCCTTAATGTTGCTTTTAGGAGCGGCCGAACTTATGTTACCCTTTTAGTTCGGTTTCTAGTTGTCAAAATGGCATCTTCTTTCAATGCTATTATCGGACAACCCACATTAATTGAAATTCGAGCTGTGGTCTCTCAATCTCACCTCTACATGAAGTTCCCAACTCCCATGGGGATAGCAACACTACGAGGTAACCAGGAGGTGGGTAGACATTGCTATATTACCTCGGTTACAAGGCCTCAAAAAGGCAAAGAGCAGACACTTGAAACCGTTCCCCAACAAATTCATGATACTCAGCAAGTGATGGGAGTTGAGATAGTAGATAACCGACCTGAAGATAAAACTAGAGCTGCCCTAGTTGAAGATGTAGAGGAAGTGCAAATTGATGACAGAGATCAAAGTAGGAAGACACAAATTGGAACTTGGTTGAACCCAAAGGAAATAGCAGAGCTAATAGCTCTCCTCCAAGCTAACAAAGATGTCTTCGCTTGGACTTGAGCAAACATGCCAGGAATTCCAACCTCGATATCTCAGCACAAGCTTAGCAACAATCCATTGAAGAAATTAGTAGCCCAGAAGTGACGTCTCTTTGGGGGGGAGAGGCTTCATGTTATAAAAAAGAAGTAGAGAAACTCCTGCAACCTAGTTTCATTAGAAGAGTTGATTACTGTGAATGGGTGGCTAACCTGGTGTTGGTCAAGAAGGCAAATGGTAAATGGCAAATGTGCATCAATTACACAAATCTCAACCAAGCTTGTCCCAAAGACTATTATCCAATGCCAAGCATTGACAAATTGGTTGAAGCGACTTCTAGAAATGAGAGATTAAGTCTCTTAGATGCATATTTTGGTTACCATCAAGTGCTGATGGCTTCAAAAGATGAAGAGAAAACCTCATTCTATGCAGGCGATGAAATTTACTACTATGTCATGATGTCCTTTGGCTGAAAAAATGCATGTGCCACTTACTAGAACGTGGTGACCATCGTCTTCCGAGCTCAGATTAGCAAGAATCTGGAGGTTTATATCGATGACATTGTGGTAAAGAGCTTGAAAGCAGAAGATCATCTAGCTGACCTCGATGAAACATTCCACAACCTCAGAAAGAACAGAATGCGGTTAAACTCAGGCAAATGCATCTTCGGTGTGGAGTTTAGGAAATTTCTAGGCTTCATGGTTTCTTGGAGAGGGATTGAGGTTAACCCAGAAAAGATCAAAGAAATAGCCAAGATGGAACTACCAAAGTCAGTGAATGACATACAGAGATTAACCGGGAGGGTGGCAGATCTTCATCGGTTCATATCAAAGTCGGTAGATAAGTGCTTGCCATTCTTCAAGATCATGAGATCAGCAGCATAGAAGGATGAATCTGGCAAACAGAAGAAGTTTGAATGGAACCCAGAATGCCAAGCTACATTCGATGAGCTGAAGTCTTATCTTAGCTCGCCCCCTTTATTGATAAAGGCTATTGATGGAGAAATTCTTTATCTGTATCTCGGTATTTCGAATGAAGCACTTAGTTCTGTCTTAGTGAGAGAAGAAGGTAAACAGCAAAAACCGATTTATTATACTAGTAGTGTGCTACACAGAGCAGAACTGAGATACCTTATTGTTGAGAAAGCAACGTTAGCAGTTGTAACTTCGGCCAGAAAGTTGAGGCCATATTTCCAATCACACCCAATCATAGTCCTCACAGACCAATGTCTTCGACAGATACTTCAGAAGCCGGAGTGCTCCGAAAGGTTAATTAAATGGACAGTTGAACTGGGGGAATTCGAGATAACATTTCAACAGAGGTTTGCAATCTGAGCTCAAGCATTGGCAGATTTTATCGTAGAATGCACGCCATGTTATCCAAGCTCTAATCTTGAGCTAAGCAACTGGACCTTATATGTTGATGGAGCATCTAATAACAAAGGCTTAGGAGCTGGTGCTTTCCTAGTTGGTCCAGACAGATATCAAAGTGAGCATGCTTTGAAATTTAACTTTGATGCAACAAACAACATGGTTGAGTATGAAGCTTTGCTAATTGGCTTGCAACTAGCATTGTAGCTGAAAGTCATGGCAATACAAGTATATAGTGACTTGCAACTTGTGGTTAATCAAGTCAACTCAGTCTACGAGGTTGTTGATTCTGTTATGATGAAGTATGTAGCCCTGGTGGCCGAGCTGAAGTGTAGCTTCCAGAAATTTTGTTTGAACAAAATTCCCTGAACTAAAAATGAACAAGAAGATTCACTTTTTAAGTTCGTGTCACGCCCCAAAACCTGAATTCGAGGCGCGACAGACGCCGTACACTCGTGAGATGGGTCCCACAAATGCACAAGGCTCGTCATATTCACAATCTGATACCACCAAAATCTTAAGATCAAATCTCTTGTAACTAACAATCCATTCAATGAATTTATAAAATCTCCAATTAAAATCCAATTTACAAGATCATGATCTATATCTAAAATCTATATCAATCTCGAAATGGCTAGCCTTCTAACTCGTCACTTCCTGTGGTTTCCCCGTCCTCAGTTTCACTTCCTGAAATGGTGGACAAGGAAAACTATGAGATAAACTCAGTAAGTAAAATATGGATTGCCCTTAATTAAACGTATAGCATGCCAACAAGTATAATCACGAAAAACGGTTACAGTGCGGGAACGAAATAGATGTCTCCTCTATAGGTCACGGCCAATGTTATAAACCTCCCATTGGCAGGCTACAGTATTTGCTGGTGTATAATCCCCACTAGCAGGGTTGAACGAACCGGTTCTATCAATAACATGTCGACATGTGCTAGCGTTTAACCCCCACTAGCAAGATCATTAATAACATAACCACATCGTAGATAAAACAGGCAGAAGTTAACAGAAAAATCACAATTCACCAATCACTTTCAAATCATCAAGACAATCAATTAAATTTCAAGTAGGCATGCTCAATTTATCGAAAAGCATAAAAATTTCATTTCAATCGATCATACTTGTGTAAAATGGGTTTAGTCCCACCACCACTTCAAAAACAAATCAAAACATGCTTTTAAAAACTGTATGGGCATTACCATAAATTTACTTACCTCACTCGCATAACCCGAAGATTCAATCTCAGTGCTAAACTGACAGAACGATCAGGAACCTAATCAAAATATCTGAGAATCAATGCCGTACTTTCTCAAATTCACATTGAAATCATCATTAAAACTAACCTTAATCACGATGCTATTTTTATCAATCTCCACATTATCAGATATCTCTAAATTTGTTCTTATATCACAAACTAAACATTTAAATCACCGCTAATCGTTGACCCTCGGTGTGTGAACAGTAATTACACTTCCAAAAATTGGCAAAACCATAGCCTATTCTCATGGGATTGTTCTCCAAAAATCTCATAGCAATCAATTAACACTCAATCATATAAATCCCACTTGAATTAATGCTTAAACTTGTCCTAAAGCTACCAGAATTCATCCCCAATTTTCAGCCTAATTCAGACAAGCAGGGCAGCAAATAAATGGACAAAATTCCAGCAACTAATGGGTAATTTGGGACTTAAATGGGGCTGCCACTTACTAGAATGTTCCTAGAAAAAATTGGACTTGGCAAAGGAAGAAGAAGCCGACGGCAAGCTGTAAGGACTCACGGAATTAACCCAAATTCAAGAACCACAACCTAAATCAAAGCTAAAAGGATGAAATCATGGTTGTTTCTTACCTAAAAATGCCCAGAAATTTACACACTCACTAGCAGCCGGCGGACAGGGAAGGGAAAAGCAAAGCAGATCTGGGATTTTTGGGTTGAGGGAGAGAGTTCTAAGCCCCAAATCTTGTGATTGAACAAGAAAGAAGGATAAAATCAAGCTCTCTTACTAGTTTCCTCAAGGGAGGAGCATTGGTGGCTTGGGCAACTTGTCAGGGAAAAAGAAGAGTAGAGTAGAAACACACGGATCTGAGGAGGAAGGAAAGAAAGAAGAAAAAAGAAAAAGAAGGAAGCTGATCCTTATCCTAAAATCTTTCCCTCTTTAAGTCCCTCACTTTTGAAATTTTGGCAATTAGGCCCAAAACAATATTTTCCTCACACAAAGGTCCCTAACTTATATGATAAAATTCCCGAAAATTTGGGATATCACATTCACCCCTCCTAAAAAGGAGTTTTGTCCCCAAAACTCAAATTGAGGATCATCTAGACTGGTGAATGGCTTCACACAATCCAGCACAACAAATGCCCCATTAGCTCTTCATGAACAGAACATAGCCTACTACGCTTCCGCTGCGCCACTCTGATATCAAACCAAAACTAATCATAAAAGCAGAACATTAATTACTTATCCGGATTTACCATGAAACAAGCTACTGGACGCTAGGGTGATATGGGAAGCACAAGGAATAAAAATAAATCCTGCTAAAGCCACAAAAGAACAATTGTGGGGTTACGCTATGAACCCAACACAACAATGAGTTAGCAAAGAATGGCATGGATTTAAAGATGAGTACAACAAAACTTTGAACTCTATCAAAAACGGATAAGCATCCAATGGATATATGGATCATGAATGAATGAACAAGTGCATGGATGCCTTATACATTCTGCCACAACAAGGTTAACCAATAAGCAAGGTCATGTTTAACAAAGCAATTGGAATCAAGAGACAGATTTTAGCAATTAACAAGAGTTAAAAGCTAGACCCATCAAATGAATCTAAAAATTTCCAAAATAGCATTCGAATGAAATCAGTGGAAAATATGAATGCTTGGAAGAATACTGGAACATAAGAGTGTAAGGTAGAATGCCTCAAAAATTTAGCAACAAAACGGCATTCACCAAGAATCAAGATCAAATTTAACCAAGCAGTCAAAATTAAGAGACAAAAGTTAACCATGAAACAAGCAATAGAATTCCAAAAATTGGGCCCACAAAAGGGATTTCAATAATGACAATGAGAACAAGGATTCAAGAGCAGATATAATCAGGATGTCAAGATCTAGCACCTCAAGTACTAGAATTAATTAACAGAACAAAGCAATGGCTGGGATCAAGATGCTTAGAAGATTACTGTTGAGAAAGAAAGAAAGCGTCTCGATATACATTCGTTGATGGGGTCCTCTATAAGAGATCTTTCTCACTCCCTCTCCTGCAATGCTTGAATCCTTATCAAGCTAAGTACGCACTTTGGGAGGTGCATGAAGGTGTATGTAGAAGCCACATTGGTGCTAGAACCCTAGCTCACAAAGTCCTCAGACAAGGATATTACTGGCCGAATATGTATAATGATGCTACTCACTTTGTGAAGAGATGCCCGAAGTGCTGCCCGAAGTGCCAATTCTTCGCACATTTGACTCACCAACTGGTAGAAGAGCTCACCAACTTGGTAGCACCATGGCCATTTGCTCAGTGGGGCTTGATCTCTTAGGCCCATTCGTGAAAGGGGTTGGAGGCATAACCCATCTAATCGTTGATGTTGATTATTTTATGAAATGGGTTGAAGCTTGGCCATTATCCACTCTTACTTCCAGAAAGGTCGAAGACTTTGTTTTCAGCTCGATTATCTACAGATATGGAATCCCAAATCAGATTGTAGTTGAGAATGGTACTCAGTTTAACTGTTTTTCATTCAGAGAATTTTGCTCCAATTATGGGGTCAAACTACAATTTACCTCAATATACCATCCGGAGTCCAATGGTATGGTCGAATCTGTCAATAAAATTATCTTGGAGGGAATAAAGCTGAGGTTGGAGCAGCACAAGGCCAGGTCGGCAGACGAGCTCAACGACGTCCTATGGGCATATAGAACTATGATCTGAATTGCCACAGGTATTATTTCCAACCCAAGTTACTTTCATTCTATTTTATTTTCTCACCTACAGCTTTACCCTAGATCAACTATGCACAACAAATAAAGCATATTTTAAAAACTATAATTTAAGGAAATATAGGTGAAACACCCTACCACCTAGCCTTTGGTACCGAAGCAGTCATTCCTATTGAAATAGGAGTCCTAAGCTTTAGGGTAACCCATTTCGATGGAGGACGAAATGGACAACTGCTTTGAGAAAATCTTGATCTGCTTGCCGAAGTCATAGAAGAAGCACAACTTCGAACCCTAGTATACAAGCAGAAATTAGCCAACTTCTACAACAAACGAGTCCACCCTCGAACATTCAAAGTAGGAGACCTTGTTCTCAGAAATGATGGTTTAACAGGGTTTGAAACTCGTTTTGGCAAACTAGCCCCGAATTGGGAAAGCCCTTACACAGTGGTCGAAGTGCCACACCCTAGTGCCTATATCTTTCAAGACGTTGAACGGAAGCCAGTTCCTAGAGTCTAGAATATCAATAACTTGAAGAAATTTTACCCTTAATAAACTTCTTTTAAGTGACCTTCGTCTTATTCTTCTTTATAATTATTACTTCTCCATTTTTGAAATTCATTTCATCTCTTATTTTGTATATCCGAGGCCAATCTGTTTGAAATTTATTCCTTGGACTTCATTTTTATTAATGAATTTCAGTTCATATTTGAAGTGATTTATTTCTTCTCAGTTCATATCTGAAGTGATTTATTTCATCTTAGTTCACAACCGAAGTATTTTATTTTATCTCAGTTCTTATGTTAATACAAAACAATTAAAGCATAAAATAAAGGTTAAAACCCCTTTTTGGTCCCTAAACTATTGTACGGACCCTCGATTTGGTCCCTGAACTAAAAAAATCCATGATTTGGTCCCTACTGTTTACCATTTTTACCCCGATTTGGTCCTTTCGTTAAAAATTGTGTGACGTGGCTTGTTACTTAACGGTTACCAGATGACATGTCATATAGTAATCCATGTGGAAGGTAATATAACCAAAAAGTGATGATGTGGA